TGCAGAGAAGAACAAAGGATGGGCTAGTTCATAATAGCCTTTTGCAGGATCACTTCTGGCCCAAATTCAGGATGGACCTCCTCTTTCGCCTTCAGGTTTTGCTAACTCTGCAGAGGATTTTGGCTGAGGTAGATACGCCTTAACACGGAGTGCTTTCCCCGCCCTTTTGGAAGACATTTCTTGGCTGCATGGAAAGAGAGAGAGAGAGAAATATGGAGGCAGTCCTTCAGTTGTCCTGCACCCACCCCACCCCTGGCACCAGAGGACAAAGGCTAGGTATTGTTCCTGTCAGGAAAGAGTGGTCTGGTGGACTGAGTTCTATGGGTTCTCACCTGCGTAATCTTGGGGAGAACCAAAGGCGGAGGACTGATCTCCTAGTAAGAGGCGAGCGTGTGTTGTTAGTGCCATTGCGTTGGTTCTGACTCACAGCGACCTTATGTCCAATGGAATGAAGCGCCCACTGGTCCTGTGCCACCCTCACAATTGTTATTTTGAGCACTGGGATGATTGAAATGGCAGCTGCTATCCCAGAGGTACAATTGTTTATAACATTCCCTTCATTCCTGCCTCTTTCCCATCCAAATCAACTCCTCACGGGATCCTTTCTTCCAGGTGGAGAAATGGGGTCAAGCTGCTGTAGGCTCAACTCATGTTTCTCACTAAAACACTGAGCTCACTGCCATCGAGCCAATTCCAACTCTTAGCAACCCTTCGGACAGGCTAGAACTGCCCACATGGATTTCAGAGACGTCATTTATGGGAATAGAAAGCTACATCTTCGCCTGCAGCTAGGCTGGTGCGTTCAAACTTCTGACCATGTGCTTATCCACCCAACCTGTAACCCACTATACTACCTAGTCAATGAAAATAGACATCTGAAAGCATAGTAAAAATAAAATATGATTTAAAATAAGCCTTGAGTCTAATTATGTACTACTCCAAATTTTGGGCGTATCACTGTGATTTTGAGAAGAGAATTTTTTTTTCCGAAAAAAATGAGTATACTTGTTTTACTATATTTATCCCAACCCATACAGTTAGATAATCATGAGTAAAACCTTGAGAAATTGTTTAATTGACAGGTTATACAGATGAGCTATCAGTGAATCCAAGGTGGTTGAAGCATTTGTGAGAACCTGATGGTATCAGGGGTGTTTCTCTGACCCAAGAAGACCTGAGTTCTGCTTGATTAGTTGTTCCTTATATCCTTAGGCTTCCTAAGTGATAGATGCCATAATAGTACAGGAGAAACAGGGTTTGAGGTGTCATAACGCATCATGCAAGGATCCCTAGGAGGCCAGAGAACATATCTTAGACTGAGCAATACTTAAGCAGGACCTTTCCAACCCCTCCCTTCCCCTCCCAGCTTTAATGGTAATAGTGGCAGGGAAGCTAACTCAGAAAAATAAATACCATGCAGAACTGGAGTGAAAATTCAAGGGGAAAACAAGAGGTTGGGCCCACACATCTAATTGCAAGAAATTGCCACTTATACAGAACTGAGAACAGTTTGCCCATGCTTGAGGAGTAGACTTGGGTCAGTTTACTTGGAAAAGATCATTCACTTATTCTTGGGGAAAGGAAGTGGAAAAAAAGGATAGAAATCGATTTACTCTCAGGCCAGAAATTCTGATTCAGTTGGTCGTAGGGCCTGTGCATCAGTATTATTTTAAATAAATGACCCAGTTTTAATATGAGCTAAAGTTGAGAGTATTCAGTAGAGTCCAATAACTTCACTTAACATTTCAAGGGAAATGGAGGCCCAGGCACACATGCTCAGAGACTGTGGGCCTAAATCCTAGGTCTTTTCACTTTGGGTACAAATGAGATTTTTCTGCCAGTGCTAAACTATCTGTAAGCATTTTGGACTTCAGCAACTTCTAATAATGAAGATAATTGTTTTGAAATAGTACATACATTTCTTCAGTTCTCTTGGGTCTTTTTGGAACTCCTTCCCCGCTAATTTGCAAGTGAAAAGTGGCAGTGCTTGAATTGATGCATTTTCAGGGGTGGCTCCTTTATGTCGTCGCATTGTGTTTGTGTTATTAGGGGCCATTTAGTTGATTTAGGCTCGTCGTGGTCTGTGTACAGAAGAGAAACAGCACAAAGCACTGCCTAGTATGGCACCGTCCTCCCCATCCATTGGTATCGTCGCCATGTCCATCCTTCTTGTTAACGGTCCTCCTCTCTTTAACTGATCCTTTACCAAACACGATGTCCTTCTCCAGGAACCCGTCCCTCCTGATAGCAGGT